CAGTATTAATTATTTAATTTATGTATTTAAGATTATATTTCAGAGTGGAATTATGATTAATAGAGAGAGAGAGAGAGAGAGAGAGAGAGAAAAGTAATATTTTTCAACATAACATTAAAGTATCTTTATGGCAGCGGAAGAATAGCAGCGCTATTCAATTTTTTCCTTGAAGCCAAAGACGCAGTAGGTACACTATTGTATAAATTTCCATTTGGTTCGTTTGAGTCCTGTCTGAAACATTCTGGTCCGGATTTCACGTTGTGCGATGAACTTATCATTCTGACATTATGCGGTCGCGATGACAACGATGAAATATCAAGTAAGAGACTGCGTATAAAAGTCCCGGGCGCAAACCGGACGAATCTCGGCGGAGTACAGTGGATTATACCGCGCCGAAAATGCGACCGTGGTTTCCGCAACCACGCCACTGCGGTTCATAGTTCATAATAAATTCCAGCACATTTCGGCTGCTACTGTTACCTACTTATACTTAACCGTTACATACGTTCGTACCATAGAATTATATTCTCCGGTCGGATATGGTGCAACTGTGCAGTGCGAGACTGTAAAATTATAACGCTGGCTGGCGTTTCTAATTTCGTTGAACGCGCTAACGTTTCGCGCAAAACGCTCCAGGTCACTTGAACGGTAATGCATGTGGATGCGTGAATCGTATGGGAAAGGTCAGAGCGTGATATTGTAATACTGCAACGTAATATTACCTGTATTATAATACATAACGGTAATATCGCAATATTGTAAAGAATTTGATATAATACGTTTTAACATTGCAGCTGTTTACGTCAACGTTATGATTTATTGTTGCGTATTTCGACGAATGAAATGTCATTAGTATCTCTTGCATGAATTATTGCGATAAATGATAAAATTCTGCATTTTCGGATTTACGCTCGTTAATGGTGCGGTGTTTGTTATCGAGAATTTTTAGCAAAATCGAGATGTGTACGAACAGTTGTTATCCTTCATTGTACTACATTTACTACGTGTCCAGCTGCACTTTGTAACTCGTTAGTCCGCAATGCGCCCTTTCAACTCTCTACCATTTTTACTACACGAACCTTCGACGTTCTAACGCGTACGACGACACGATTAGAAAAGAGAAAATGAAGGAGAGGAAAAAAAAGGGAAAAAAAGGAACGGAGAAACTTTAAAAAAAGACGAAACGTCCCTACAGCTTATCCACGTGTCGCTTGGCAGTGAAGTGATCTAATTTTGGGAAAGACTGGTCGATTTGAACATTGCTTGATTTCACCGTCTTGTTACACGGTCAATCGTCTTCGTACATCCCGAATGTGCATCTCGAATACACAATGCTCGGCTTGGTCGGAAAGATACGCGACGCGAACGAGCAAAATTCATCGGTATACGTGCGCAGTAAATGTAATGCGCTAAATATAACAATACACATATACTTCGACATAGCATTGCCTCAGTGCCGACACGACAAAATATTTAACTTTATCAATTACGATCAAACAAACTCAATATTAAATATACATATATAATACAAGTAGATCAGAAGAAAAAGAAATACAACCTCTTAAAATTCATCGTTGAAGCTTTTATTCCAATAACTATGTTATAAACTTCATAATATGCTCTATAAGTTTTGACATAAAGAAAATAAGAACTATTTCCATACGGGAAATGATAAAGTATAAAACTCGAAGGAAGTCTAGCGATATTCTCTGAATGAATTCAATTATCCGAGTGATCGAGTCAAGCAACGAATAGAAAAACGAAGTTTTTCGAAATGTCGATATCATTTTAACACGTAAACAACTTGAAATATTTTTTTGCGTTGAAACAAAAGTTACTTGTCGTATTAGTTATACACTGATTTTAAATAAAACAAAATTACATACATACAACATTAAGGCATTTCTAGCTTGTTAATTAATTCTGAGGCAGAAAATCATTATGTATTTTTCAATTCCTCTGAGGGTATAGCAAGGCACAGTTTTAATTGCGGACATTTTATAATGACACCCCAGGGACATGAATGGAACTCGCTTTTATAGACGAGTTCATCGTGCAATGTAAATAACGCTCCTGAATAATCCCGCATGGGATCAATGAATCATCGGATTTATATAAATTTCGCACCCACATTATTTTGGTTGTATTATTATAATCCTTAGCATCCACAGAGCATATTTAAAGCTCGTTACTTACGTCATGACTGTTACAAGGATATAGGCACACAAATATAGTGAGAAAAATCTTTCATCCTTCGTTGAAAAATTAAATATTATAATGTTAATATAGTTCGAATTATTATGTTAAGAATTTAAAAGAGTAATTTAAATTAATAATAAACAATTGTCAAATGTTAAAATGTAATCTTTCATTTTCAACAAACATTTTTTAAAAGTTATTTTATATTTTTATTATTTTATATTTTTAATAACATTGCTATTAAAATTATTCTATGTTTTTGAGGTCAATCTATATGTTTATTTTATAAATTTATTTATATAAAATGCACGATGTATTTATTCATATAAAAGTATAAAGGCCAAAGTTTTTAATGAATACAGATAATAATATTGTATAATAAACTAATATGTAACACGAAAATCAGTGACAACGTTTATTTGATATAAAAAGCGGTTGATGAATTCACTTCGGACAAAGAAGAATGGGACTCATTTGTGGCGAACGGTTCTCGATCTCAAAATCAGAAGAAAAATGGATTTCTTGTACGTACCACAGAAAATGGACATAAATGTAGATCCACCTGTACAAATGAAGACCCATTTTTCACTTGGCAGTTCTGTGATTTTGCCAATGACTTTTTACGATAACTCGACCGCAGTCTGCGATAACTAACTACAATGCGATATCAGGCGTTACATACCGCGCTACTCTAAAACCGATAAATCATACCTTGTACCCATTTTTGTAAAATATCGACCCAACTTATAGCTGTCTCGAACGCTTTATCTGCGAAACATTTATAGGACCGACGTAGAGTATTGACGTGACTAATTTTTCGACATGCTTTCGTATCGCAATAAACTTCTTATGGCATAACATTCCTATATATCAAAAAAGATATTACAGATAAAAGAAGATACAGTTCAAAAATTAAATTGAAATAACAAATTTATTTATATAAAAGACATAAATATCTTTTATACAAATAAATTTTTTTAAAAATATTTTTTAAAATACATAGAAGATATAAACATTTTTAATAAATTTTTTATATTAATTTAATTTTAGTTTTTCTTTTTTAACATATACATAGAAACACGTTATGGCACAAGAAGTTTATTACGAAAGTATGTCGAGAAAATGTATCTCGTTATTTTGATAAATTTATGTTTCGTTTTTACAATAAAAATTTTTATTTTACTTTTATAAAAAATTTACTTTCTGTAAATTAACTTATTTACCTTACAATTTACGGTGTACAATTTCGTGATTAATATTTCATTTTTGCCTTATGACAGTAAAGGTTTCATAATTATCACGTACGCAATGCAATGCAATATTAATGGGATGTTTTCATTATATTTTAATGTAAGCCCCGACAAAAGGCTTTTTCCCGAGGCATTTAATCATTCCGTCATCGTGTCACAGATTTTTACTTAACAAATCGAAACGTACTATCATCTTTCCGCTAATCAATAAATATAATTATTCCACGTCAGTTTTACGACATAAAAATTTTCCGGTGGAAACAAAGCTGTGGATCAAGACGTAGAAACGAAGAGAGAAAAAGACTACGGGAAACAGCAATCCTCCAGCAATGAGCTATAGATGATAAGCCGCTGTGCGACGAAGATTGATTAGTATATTCATTTGTTCGCTGACTTTTTCTTATTAACTCACACCAGTGGATGATAATGTGATTATTACTCCCGGGAAATTTTGGTACTTTTAATGAGCAGGTAGATTTGACAGAGAGATTATCCGACACGTACTAAAAGTTCACTAACAAGATCATTATAAAACTCGTTAATACCCCCGTGCTACTACAGTAATTATTTTTACAACATCAGGGATTAGTTGGAACCATTATTCAAAGTTCGCGCTAATAGGTCACCGAGAAAACTTCATTACTAATTTATCATATGCTAAATCGGTAATAAATGAATAAATCATTATTGCAATTGTTGTAATGTAGTATATGTGCTGTATAACAATCGCGCTGTAATAAAATACCCATCTTCAAAATAATAGCAAGTATAATGAACTTGTCAGAATTAAATACTATCATTACTCAACGTTAATATTACGTCGGAAATATAAAGTAATTCGAACTTTCTCGTCAAAAATTAATAAAATAAAATGCCTGAAAGATTATCTTCAATTAAAGTAATAATCGTTTGAATCTACTATTTTCAGTCATTTTTCTGGCAAAAGTTGGATGAATGCAAGGAGATAAAAGTTCAGTCACAGTAGGCTGGTGATATTGCGGGTGTTTTTCGAACAATGCTACTTTCAAATGTGGTGCAATTGTTGGTTGTAGACTTGTGCAGTTTCTGACGTGTTTTATCGCTCAGAACGATTAAAGATCATTTTACAGTCTGACAACGCTTGACCTCATATCGCTTCGTGCACTGTGGAAATCCTGATGGATTTGCAGTGGAAAGTTCTCTTGCATCCAGCATACTCAGACCATCGGACCATCACTTATTTCGTTCAATGCAGCACGGCCTAAATGGAAAGCGTTTCTGAAATGCAGTCGAAATCAAAGAGTTGGATCGATAACTTCTTTGTCGTCAAAAAGATGAGGTCTTTTATCGTCGCGGAATTCAACTTTTGCCAGAAAAACGGCAAAAAGTAATAGATTCAAACAGCAATTATTTTAATTAAAGCTAAGCATTTTATTTTAACTTTTCTGACAAAAAGTCCGGATTATTTCCTCTCCGACTTCACTAATACTGCTAAATAAAGTACTCGAAATATGGGCAGATTTTTAAAAAACAAAATCACACAATTCACGCATTTGTTATCGAAGCTCTTACTTGATTTGGCGACCGCCTTTCGGCGGTCTTCTTCGGTTGGGGGCCCTCCCTAGTGGTCCCCGAGTTGTTTTTTCTGGTCACCGAAATCCAGCGCTGTAACAGCTAGAAACCAGAGATCCGCTGTCGTTAAATTACAGCTGCAACACGCGACGCGACGCGACATGACTATGTGCGAGGACGACGCGAAGAAATTTTGGAAAATCGAGGATTTTCGTCGCCCACGTAAATCGTCATCGCGCGTGTCATGTACATATGATGTATGAGTGTGTCGTGTAAATTTAAACGCACTGTCATGCGGGGGAAGCGATCGACGTAGATATTCGACGACACGGCTAGCGTCCGGTGAAAGTAAACCGATCGTATTTTGGCCGCGTTACAGGACGACTGTCATGTAGAGCTCTACATGATTAGTGGACGAAACATTGCCAGCATCGAAGTGAGAAAAAAATAATCATATAGTGAACATACAACGCGCTCTGACGACGTTGCGCGATGGTTCTAATTAACGTAATGGCGCCCCGAGGTGTTGAGACTCCGCAAATGTCACGAGAGAAAGAGAGAGAGAGAGAGAGAGAACGAGAGAAACATGCTTGTAATTTACGTTCCGCTTGCTCATATTCCAATGTTACATGCGTTGCGGTGATAACTAGCGGTGGTAAAATTTTTTTCAACAATTCGATTAAAAAAGTGATTTCGGTCTCGAATGACGATAAACAGAGCGCGGCGCGGGGATATCACAGTGAAAGCGGTCAACGTTGAATCAGACACACTGATCCCGCACATACACGAGCGTACCGCTTTGTGTCCGGCGCGATTGGCTATGAAGCCAATTTTTAAATAAACGCACAGCCCGTATTTTTGCGCCGTAGCTTTTCGTAGTTCGTAATGAAAGCGGCGTCATTCGTTGAATTCCGCGAAACGGTGCGACATTCATTCGGAAATATTCATATCATATTGTTTGTCAAATTATCTCTCCCGGTTCAGCCGCTCGATTTTTCAGACGGGGGCAATCATCAAATTCACGATTTTTATATTGGCCGTTGTAAAGCAGCGAAGCATAAAATTGCATTTATTTAAATTTTACTTAAATTGTATTTATTTAAATGGTATTAATTTAAATTGCATTTATCGCTATTGCATGAAATGTCAATAACAGATTAGTTAAATAGACACGAAATTGTATTTATTTCAATTTTATTTTAATTACATATATTTATTTAAATTGTATTTATTTAAATTGTATTTAGGTATCACTATTGCATGAAATTTTAATAATAGATTGTCCAATAAATTTAAAATTACAACGTCGCACTGTTTAATGGAAAATCATTCAGAGCTAATTCATAAAATTTATCAAATTAATTTTATCAATTAAAAATTTCGAGACTTTAGTTCCCAGTAAAACAACTGTCACAATCGTTAAGCTTTATAAATAATAATTGCTTTTCTCTTGTTATTACAAGAGTTACTTCCCAGGAAGTAACAAAATATCTCGGTTATACGATTCGCGATTATTTCTTCGATGCTTTCTGGACTCGAGCCAACGAAATCGTATGCTTGGAAAATCATGTCGATTATCGGCCAAATTAGATTCGTTAGCGAGAAATGGAGAAGAAGAGACAGACTACGTATTTCCTCGCACTGTCGTGCGACTTGCGTTTCTATCAATTTTTACGCTCGACAATATTTTAATCACTTTTCCGTTCCGTTTTACAGCGGCGCTGTATAGTTTCCCAATTTACATCAGAGATCGGACATTGCCGTTCGCAACAAGAGACATGAGAGCACTATCACACGGCGCGAGACACGATCATACTGGTCGATGAATAAAGATGAATAGGCGATTGTGAAAGAAAAAGCAAAAAATAAAATGTCCGGTGTTGATGAGGACCTTTTCTCCATCGCGGCCATCGCCAGATATACGATGGTGGAAAAACTGTAGCGAGAACTGAGGCGAGTAATTGGACACCGGGTGGCCATATTAGAGCACGCGGAGACAGACGGAGATGGAGAACGGAGAGACAGAAGAGCGAAGTTGATGGAAGGGAAAGGATGGACCGAGAAAGTGAGAGAGAGAAAAAGAGAAGAAAGACACGGAAAGCGAAACAGAAATGAGGTAGCGAAATCGGTACAGGGACTGGTGAGTTGAAGAGAAAATGATACGAGCAAGAGATGCAGAGCGAGATAGATAGTGAGCCTTTAAACAGCAGCATTAGGGGAATGCAGATTGAGTATATAGGCGCAAAAAAAGATCAGAGAATCATAATGAAGAAGCGCGAGAGATAAGAGGAGATACGGAACGCAGTAATGATAGAGAATGAAAAATGGGAAAAGAAGAGAGAAAACAAATATATTATAACAATTGTATTAATTTAAATTGCATTTAAATTATATTTATTGCTATTGCATGGAATGTCAATGACGGGTTGATTATAAATATGAAATAGTATTTCTGAACACTTAAAAATAAAATAAAATACATTTAAAATTTATATATAAATATTAACATTTATTGTCTCTAGCCTCGACCGTACTTTGAATCTTCGTTATTTATTTGATATAAAATAAAATATACATTTTTGCGTAATTTCTTTCATTCTAACAAAATAACGATAACAATTTGATCTTTTTATTGTAAAACAGTAAAAATATCTGTGTAATGGATTGCTTGAAAAACTTACAATTCTTTTTAATAAAAAAACTCTCTTTGCTTTTATTATCGCCTTACATATTTTGAGCATGCCATTAATTAATTTTTCGAGCGTACTTAACGACATTTTTCTTTAGACACTTTGAGGACACTTGTTAAATAGAATTATAATATAGTCCGTAGATTTCTTTTCGTATCCGCGTCTATTATAAAGTGTGCCCTAGATTTTTTATTCAATATTCTGGAAATAGGTTTCTATTGTTTTGAAATAAAGGTAATACGTAAATAAAATTAATGCTATTTTATATGTTATTGTATATTGTTTAATTGTATTATAGATAAACCGAAATTTAATATTATAGAATTACAATGTTTTCAATGTTTTCCATTTTAAATACTATTAGGCTCAGTTTCACAACTCACGGTTATAACTCTTAATTGGTAACTATCACCGGTAACGTTAATTCATTAAGAGATTTTTCGATGAAATAAGTCGTAAGTTTTCCAGGCAATGTAGCAAACCGTAATATACACATTTTCTTATTTTATAATTAAACAATTATTTTTCATTAATATAAAAAATTACGCAAGAATATATTTGATTTTATCTTGAGTGTCTGAAAACTTATAAATGTGTAGAAATCGGTTAGAGTAGATAAGTTAAAAAAATGAGAAAAGAAACGGAGAGATATATAGAATGGGAGAGTTGGAGAAACCAAGTTAATAAGAATCCTCGCTCCCTCCTTCCCGAAGTAAACTGAATATATTCGTAAATAGGACGTAACATAAATTACAAAGGAAAAAAAAAAGAAAAGGAGAATAAAGAACGCTAAGAAATGAAAAGATAGTCTGCTATAATAAAAAACAAAAAAGCCAATATAACAATAAGTGCAAATATTGTGCGAACGATATTTGTAACGCTAAAAGAGAAATCAGAAAAAGGCAAACAAGGCGATACATAATAATGAAAATGAGGAGAAAGAGGCAAATAGTAACAAGTCGTTAACGAAAAAGCACGGATTCGAAACGAAATAATCAAAATGAAATGAAATGTTTAAGTAGAAACGGTAAGATCGTTGGCGAAAGAAAGGGCGAAATGAAGAGTCCTTTTGCGAAATGGCAAGAAAGAGTTAGAGTGAGAAAGAGCGAATACTTTGATGAGAAGCTACAACCAGGGGTTGCAAAATTAGCAACCAGAAACTGCGAAGTCGGTGCTAACTAACGATGAAAACGCCTTTAATAAAACCAGAATTCTAAAAATCGTAGAAGATTCACGTAGAGAATTCGCATCGGGAATAGCGAAAAGAGCTAAAGTAAGATGTCTCAAGGCAGGGGGTTCGAGTTAAAGAAGATAAATGTATAAAAGAGCGAGAGGATAGGAAGAGGATTGGAAGTAAAAATCCCACGAAAGAACATGTTGAATCAAAGACAAGCGGACGAAAAGCGAAGTCAGCGAGACAGGAAGAAGCGTGGCGAAAAATTCGAGTGGAGACAGATTCAGTGGGCTATGGGGACCGAAGGAGTCTCGCGTGATAACTTATTTATTTCAGAAAAGGCCGTAAGAGGGATTGAAAAGGATCAGCTTGAAACAGAGAGTGGACATAGAGAAACGGATATGCAATTCCGTCCAGCGTGCCATCACCATCGTCGCGATCTAGCGCCTTCGCGCGCGCGCGCAAGCGCGTGCGTGCGATACCCGTTTTAGTATCCGAGCACACACCGGTGCACACCGGGTGTGCATTATCTAACACTTAAAATTAGACGGCGACGGCAGCGACAACGACGGTGGATAGTCTCTCTTTCTCTCTTTCTATCTTCTTCTCTCTGTCGCCCATAAGAGAAGGAAGAAGACCGGAACGAATGGAGACATCTCCCCTTTTAGAGACAATTTTCGTAAATTATATTGCGATATCTCGATGATGCACTTAATCGTCTTGCACTTGAATCAACGATATCACGTGGAACTTTTTCTCTAACGACACACTTTCTTTTTACAGCACTATATATAGCACGATACGCCCTCGCTTGCTTTTCCGTATGTTTCTTTTTTCCTCCCTCTATTTCTTCCGGCCTTACTTTCCACCGTTTCGCTCTAAGTAGTGTGACGTTTATCGTATATGGTGTGGATGATGAGGTTGCCGATGACGAAGAGTTTACTCAGACGCACCGCGTTCGTCCGGGCCGGCTGGCCGCCCGTCTCAGAGTGAATGTCTTATTAGTTATTTCTGGTTTAGCTACTTCGTCGCTACTCTATTCCTTCTCCTTCTTTTCTTGATCTTCTGCCCGAACCGATTCTCCTTTCCCTCCTGCAACCGTTTTACGCTCTTGCGTTCCCAAACATCGAACTCGATCTGCATCGCGCCATCAGCCGTGCAAGCTCGAAAGCTTACGTATATACTGTCGGCTCAGTGCTTGCGGCGGATTCCCGCTGTATTCTC